CTTATTGTGATGGTCTTAATGTGAAAGGAATTTTGTACGGCACTGGTGAAGTCTTTCTCCCTTGAGGTTCATAGTTCAGGCATTAGATCAAGTTCAGGCATTGATCTAAGGCTAGGGGAACTGATTGGTCAGTTTGGTTTTCAGTTTTTTTGGAAACAAAGATCAGAGAGGCTAAAACCCTAAGATCTAAATGCCTGCTGGTTCTTCCTCCTATGTGCACTTTGTTCAGCCGCATCAGGTTCTGGGTTTTCCTCTCTCTGACCCACATACCTGCCACCTAGACCTTTGCTGTTGCCCCTACTTTTACCATACTCCCTTCCCCAAGCCCTGTTTGGGAGCTGTGAGTGGTACGGTGGAACAAACATGGGTCTAGGCTCAGACATCTAAACACCCATCCACACACACTGGATCTGGGTTTTCCTTGGGCCAGGGATTGTACAAACCACATGATTCAGAGCAGTATTTTGCCCTCATCCTAATATGGGAGATAAATATAAACCAACCAACAAAAATATAGATAATGTGCTGTCAGGTAGGGATAAATGGTAGAAGCAAAGCAGAGTAAGGCATTAAAAATGAAGAATAGAAGATGGTACATGACCAATAAGGTAGTTGGAGAAGGTCTTTCTTAGCAGGTAATATTTGAGAAGAGACCAGAGTGAAGGGATTGATAATATGATGTGAGAATGAAGGAAAAGATTAGGCTAGTGCCAAGTCCTGAGGTTTAAAAAAACTGTCCTGGGAGTGTTTAAAAAACAGCAAGAAGGTCAATGTGATAGCTGAAAGAGTCAAATGGAGAGTGATGAGAGACGAGCCTGGAAAGCTAGACAGGGGCCAGGCCATCCAGGGTCTTGTAGGACACAGGCATTTCAGATGTCATTCTGAATGATGTGGGACTGGGACAGCCTGGCAGCATTCTGAGCTGGGAAGTTTACATGATCTGACTTACATTTGCAGGGATTTACAATGATGCTCCAGTTGCTGTGTTGAGTAGAATATAGGGCATGGGTGGGAGCAGGGAGAATGGTGAAGAGGCTAGGGCAGCACTCCTGGTGAGCAACCATGTTGGCTTGGTCAAGGCAGTAACAATCAAGTGATGACTTATTTTGATACTGAGTATGAAATCAGGCACAGCTTCTTACAAGTTGTTTAACTTCCTTGAACTTCAATTCTTTCTTCTAAAAAAGTTGAAGATGAAAACACTTCCTTTGTAATCATTTGGTTCTTGGTGGGCTCTTGGTAATCTGTTGACTCTATAGCCCTCACTCTCCCTTCCAGATAATTGTCCTTTCCCCAAGAAGGAATTCTTACAGGTAGCTTTAAGTTGTAGGTGTAGAGGCTTGAGTTAGTCTTCTTTATCTGTGAGTCAAAATCAACATGGTCCTTACAAGGTCTCTGTTGTTTCATTTTCTTCTTTATTTTCCATTCTTCTTTCCTTTCAACCAATCATTTATTCTAAATTGTTTAATGCAAGGTGAAAGTGAAAGTCGCTCAGTCGTGTCCGACTCTTTGTGACCTCATGGACTATTGAGTCCATGGAATTCTCCAGGCCAGAATACTGGAGTGGGTAGCCTTTCCCTTCTCCAGGGGATCTTCCCAACCCAGGGACTGAACCTAGGCCTCCCACATTGCAGGCGGATTCTTGACCAGTTGAGCCACAAGGGAAGCCCATTTAATGCAATACCTTTTACAAATGGCATATTATCATTTTGTGCGCCTGTATTTTAAATTTACCTAAATGACAGTGTTTCATACATTTCAATTCTCCTTATTTTACTGAGTTCTGTGTTTTCCAGATCAATCCTTGTTGCCATGTACACATTTGATCCATTGCTACTAACAGCTGACTGGTACATATGTCAGGATGTGCATTCACTATGATATACCTAACCAGTCTTCCAACCTCTTGGCAGCAATTCAGCATCCTCATACTTGTGCATCTTGGATTGTGTGAAAATTTATTGAGACACATACTGAAGAAACAGGGTAGCTGGGTCATAGGTATTTCAATATCTAATTTATTTATTTATTTTTTAATTTAAATTAATATTACTAGACTTTTCTAGAATGGCTGCACCCCTCCCACCAGCAGTACACAGAAATTTCCACACCCCAGTCCCTTCCAGTACTTAGCATTATCTAGTTTTTCAATTTTACCAGTCACTAAGTATAAAGAGATAGTTCTTTGTTAATCAATATTTCCCTAATAAATAATGAGTTTGAGCATTTTGAGTTTTCTTTCCTATAAATTCCTAAACTATATCTTTGAACATTTTTAATATGGGATTGCTATCTATATTCCTTTTGATTTATAGGAGCTTCTTGTGTACTATAAATAACTAATTCCTTTTTGATATTAAATGCCACAAATGCATGCTTTCATTCTGTCATCTAATAACTTTCCAAAATGTCTTTCACTGAATTGAAAAATACATAATTTTGACATGATCAAATCCAGCTAATTTTGCTGCATGGTTTGTATTTTTGAAGCATTATTTAGAAATTACTATCCTACTTCTATGTCATAACAATGTTCTAGATGCTTAGATCTTTTATCTATGTGGAATAAAGTGACATTTAAACAGGAACCCAGCTTTAATTTTCTTATATTTCATTTTTTAACACTTATTAAACAAATATTTCTTTCATTTATAGTGTTATTTTGTTATGTAAAAGTATGATAGTGGTCTATCTTGTCTCTTTATTCTGTTCTATTGATTCATAATCTATTTGTAGAATAATGCCAGGCTGTTTTTATTACTATGTTTTTATAGTATATTTTATTATCTGATAAAGCACATTTTTCCTTGTTATACTTCTTTATTAATATTAGCCTATTTAACTATAGGTTTTTGTTTTTCCATAAGATTTATTGAGCTGTAACTTGTATACATCAACATTTACATATAGCTTTCAAAATTTAACATTTAACTGAATACTTGGGATCATTCTATGTAGCATTATATCTCAATAATTTATATGGAAGAATAAAATTCCAGAATTAGTTAAGACAACTTTAATATGTAGAGTATTTTTTAGTGCCCCAGAAAATTTCCCTGAGCTCTTCTGTTAATTCCACCCCAACCATGATTGTTTTCTGTTTTGTACTATCATCATTAGTTTTATGTGATTTAGAACTTTGTGTAAATGGAGTTAGTCTGCATTCTTTTATACCTAGTGTTTTTTACTCATTGATGTAAATGTTAGCATTTCATTCCTTTTTGCTGAGTTGATTTTTCATTTGTCTCTTGATAAGCATTTGGATTGTCTCTATTTTTATATATTATGTAAAAGTTTTTATAAACATTAACACTGAAGTCTTTTTGTAGACATAGGTTTTCATTTCTTTTTGATAGATAACCTAGGAGAAGATTTGCTGGGTCTTAGTGTAGGCTTATGTCTAACTTTACAAGACATTGCCAAACTATCCTTTAAAATTAAGGTAGCATTTTACATTCCACCAATAATGTCTGAGAGTTCCAGTTGCTCCATACCCTCACCGATATTTGTTTTTATCAGTTTTAGACAGCAGGTATATTAGCGGATACAAAATGTGTCTCGATGTGATTTTTAATTTGCCTTTCCTTGGTGACTAATGATGCTGAGCACCCTTGCATGTGCTTATTGCCTAATTTTTCATGAAGTGATTTCATATCCTTTGCCTACCGTTCTTCTTGAATTATCTTTTCATTAGTGACTTGTAAAAATTCTCAGTACATCTTCCCCACTTCAATCTGTTGGATATGAGCCTTTTGTCACGTAAATATACTATGAATATTTTTTCCAGTTTGTATCTTGCCTTTTCATTTCCTTAATGGTTACTTTTAATGAGCCAAAAAAAAAAAAAAAAGCAATATTAATTTTGTGGAAGCCTGATTTATCTTTTTTAAGATAAATGGTTGGTTTATATGATTGGTTCCTTTTGAGTTTCAATTTTAAAATCTTTACTTCTCATGGTCACAAAGATATTACTGTATGTTTTATCTTATTCAAGAAAATTTATGTTTCTAGCTTTTACACGTAGGTCTAAATTCTCTTAAATTATTTTTTGTGTATAAGGATTTGCAGTAAAACGTTGTACAAAATTGGTGAGAGAAGAAATCTTTGAACTATTCCCAATCTTCAGAAGCGCATTCAGTGTTTCACCATCAAAAGTAATTATTAACTGTACGTTTTTTTCACAGATGCCTTATATTTTTTAAAAATCACTTTTGCTAATTGGTTATTACTGTTATAAAGAAACATGTAAAGAAATGATACTGACTTTTAGGGTTTAATTACTGGATTGCCTTTAATCCAGCATTTTGCCAAGCTTCCCTATACTGTTCGATCCTACTAGTGTTTCTAGTTAGATGTTTATAATATTTCTGAATAGTGATCATTTTATCTTTTTTTCAAAGTCTCTTGCCCTCTTTTGCTTTTCCATTGCCCAGGACCTTTGTGCTCTGTTCATCAGTAGCACACAGTCATTTTATATTACCTGACACTTCCTTGCCCCAGCTTCAAGCTTTCCTGTCCATGGATAGATTGAACAAGAAATTAACACTTGAGACAAACTGGGCCAATCAGATCCTATTTCCCAGGAATTTGGAATTGGAATTCAGAGTTGGTGGTCAGTCTCAGTTAGGGCAGGCAAATCAGAAAATGGTATAAACACTGTATGGAGGCAGAGACCAAAGTCACCTTCACACAGAACAGAGAGAGAAGAGAAAAGACATGTCAAAGGAAGCAGTTTAAGAGACAGTACTGCTGGAGAGACAGACCAGCAGAGACAGACAGGACAGGGACAGAAGCACACAAATACTCTTGAACAGATGAAGAGAAGAAAGGAGAGAACTAATCCTGGAGACCAAAGACCCAAGGAGAAGCCCACACCCACTCCCACAGACTCCCATAGACACACATTCAGAGGGACAGACATACAGAGGCAAATGGGGATGTGGAGAAAAACGCAGAGACACACACAGCAGACATCGAGAAAGAGGGACATAAAGACAAACCGGAGAGCCAGACTTAGCGAGTCCATAGGCATCCATCAAGTCCCAGAGGCAGAGACACCGCGGGTTCCTGGCCTCTGTCCTCAGGGTCTGCTGGCTGCAGCTCCCTGGGAAGCCTGTCTGCAATCTGTGCCCTCAGGTTTGGTGAGAGTCCTCTGAATCCTCTTAACAAAGCCACTTTATGGAAGCTCACTTTAGAGGCTTCTCCCTGCAATGAAATGTACAATTCAGCCCAGAGGTCTCCTTGGCACTCCAGTTTTGCACAAATCTGATTGTACCTAGAAAGTTCAAGGATGTGACAAACTTAACCCTTCCAAATTGGAACTCTTAATTATTCCCTCCAGAACACAGTGACTTCCTGCCTTCCCAGAAACCGAGGAGCCCCTCAGCCTCTACAGCCAACCAGCACACAGCGCTATCTTGTCATCTGTATCTCTAATCTGTCTACATTTCTTCATCTCCGCAGTCCTCCTGATCTAGCACCATTTCTCTCACCTAGAGACACCATGGAAGCCTCCTAATTGATCTTCCTGCATTCACTCTGCTCTCTCTCTCATCCATTCTTCACACAGCTGCTGGAAGTTTCTTCTTAATATTTAAATTGTCTGGTAACATAAATCTGCTTAAAACCCTTAAAAAGCTTCCCATTTCATGTTGCACAAAATTCAGCACCTACCATGATTTCAGGCCTCCATGACCTGTCCCTGTCCATTTCTGTTCTCATCTCACATGGCCCTCGCTCAGTCACTGGACTGCACCTCAACCCACCAATCTCACATTGACCTCAGGGCCTTTGCACATGCCAAGTGTTGCCTGAAATGACACTTACCAGGGCCAGCTTCTTATCATTTAGGTCTTAAGTGTCCTCTCCTTAGAGAGATTGGCGAGATGATTTTCCGTCTATGCAAGATCATCTAAATTAGCCCCTAGCCCCTTTCTTCTACAGCTTGATATTTTCCTTCATGAGACTTATCTTTACCTGTGCTGTGCTGTGCTTAGTTGCTCAGTCATGTCTGACTCTTTGCAACACCATGGACTGTAACCCCCCAGCACAGGGGGTTAATGGAATGGAATCCCCCTCTGTCCATGGGGATTCTCCAAGCAAGAATACTGGAGTGGATTGCCATGCCCTCCTCCAGGTGATCTTCCCAACCCAGGGATCGAACCCAGGTCTCCCGCATTGCCGGCAAATTCTTTACCATCTGAGCCACCAGGGAAGCATCTTTACTTTTACTGGTCTGTTTATTCTGTGTGTGTGTGTGTTTCTTTCTGCTCTCATCATCTAAGAAGTCCATGAGGAGAGGGACTGCCTCTCTCAATCATATGGTCCTCACACAGTGCCTGACACATAGAAGTATTACAACAAGTATTTGATGGATGAATAAGTGAAGGAGGGGAGGAAAAAAAAGTAATGAAGGAAGAAGCCTTAAGATGGAAAGTGTGACAGTGAATGAGGATTGAGTTATTGTTGAAGTTGGTCCTGGCCAACGCCAAGTACCTGTGACACTACAGAAGGTCAGCTCTAGCAAGGCTGAGTCATGGAGGCAGTGAGCACAGCAGAAGCAGCACTCCATGAGGAGTCTGGAAGACCCCCCTCTAGGCCAAGCTAGTTCCTGTGTTTGCGCTGGGCAATGTCTGTGGTCACTGCTAGGTCCCAGCCCTGAACGTCTGCTATGGTGCCTTCAGGTCTGAAAGAATATGTTGCATCTGTAATTCCACAGAATTACACACTGTGGAGATGGTGCTTGACACTCAGCTTCCTCATCTCTGTGCTGGGACCACCCCTGGGCAGAGCAGAGTCTGCCAGTGCCAACCCTCCCTTCCCACAAAGGCCTTGGAGCCCCAGCTGCCCCTGTGGGGCCCTCTCTGCTGCCAGTTCGGGTGCCTGCATGGTTACCTCTGAGGATCCCACCATGGCTGGTCATCTTGTGACACAAAGTCTCCCAGACTGACTCTCTCCTTGAAACATTTATCCTTCCTCCTGGGGCAAAGATGCAAAGAGGCTGGTGTTGAGACTGTCAATGATGAAGTCATTTTCTGTTTTCCACCGCTTTTAATTTGACTCTATTTGCAGACTTCATGTGAATAGAACGATATTCAGTCCTTCATGAAGCGATAAAGCTGCATCCATTGCATGTGGTGTGAGCTCCCTTCTCCCAAGTCTGTCTTGCCAATGGGCTCTTCCCCTCCTGCAGGTCCTTGATCCATGAGGGCAGGAAGGTTCCAAGCACTGCTCAGCTGGGAGTGATTTATCCTCCTCTGAACCCCAGACGACTTGCCTTCTGAAGTCCTGAGATCACATTGGCAAGGGTGGTGTGTTAGGGGGTGTCTGTCTACCCCACAATGGCCTCCTGTTTGGACAGAGTGCCACCCACTGCCACAGGGGAGGGGTCATAGTTACACCATGTGACCTGTGTCCATGCCACAGCTGGTTGGACCAGGCTGGACAGCTGACCCAAATCAGGCCAACTGGGTTCTGTGTCCTGGAAATCCTACCTTGGGTCCAAAAGGCATTGACTTCAAGTGTTTTGAGGAGTGACTGGATGCCAGTAATGTGGGGCAGCCATCTGCACTGGAATGTGGTGGTCACAGGTGAAGAATGAGGGGGTGGTGGGGCAGTGTGAGCTGCCCCTAGTCTCTCCTGCCAGCCCTCGGAGAGGCTCAGCTGCTCTGCCCTTTCCTGGGTCCTTGAGTCACCTCTGTGTCTTTATCAAGAACATTTCCACAGCTTACATCTGTTACCAGTTGTAGCTAACTTGGGTAGGTTTCTACTACTTCTGATCACACAGATATCTGTGTTACTATAGTCACGTCATCTTTCCTCTGAGTGTTAAGCTTCCAGAGGGCAAGAATCTGCTTCTACACATCTTTGCACCCTCATGGTGCATGCTTCAGTGTGATGTGTGCAGTAGGGATTCAATTACAAATTTGTCAAATAAATGACCTTGTGTGTACTACCTATGAAAGAGGACCACATGCCTCAATTTCAAGAAATAGTGACTATTCCTAAAAGAAAGTTATCCTTTTAATGCAAATTCGGGCAATCTTGTCTTGTAAGTAACAGTTTTTGTCAGAAACCTCTGCTTCGGAGGGCTTTCCTGGTGGCTCAGATGGTAAAGAATCTGCCTGCAATGCAGGAGAACTGCATTCGATCCATAGGTCAGGAAGAGCCCCTGGAGAAGGGAATGGCAACCCACTCCAGTATTCTTGCCTGGATAATCCCATGGACAGAGGGAGGAGCCTGGTGGGCTACAGTCCTTGGGGTTGCAAAGAGTCCGATACAACTGAATGACTAACACTTTCACTTTTTCCCCTTGAGAACCTTCCTCGGCTCTCATTGCCCACTAAGTTATATTCACAGTCCTGGAGCTGCGCTCCAGATCCCTCAGAACACGGTCCGTGTTTCACCTACACTCTCTGTCTTGCCTCATGCTGCAGTCACATCGGAGCTCTCCTGAGTCCTTCTGCTCTCCACTGTGCTCAGGCCTCTTATTACTCACAATGTTCTTCCCTCGATTTTATTCTAAAAACTCTTCACTTTTTATTGGAGACCAGTCTAGAACCTTAGTACCTCTTTTTAAGGCCTTTTCTGATTGATATTAATTCAACCTGCTCTGTCTCCCTCCAGACCTTCTCAAAGCAGCAGACAAAAGACCACAACAGGGAGGGAAATAGAAGCGCTGGGATATGAGTTCAAAGAATTGAAGGACAAGAGGTGATTCAGGCCACAAACAAAACATTCCATCAATTACATAATTTCAATAAACTCTTCCTGAGAACTTGGAATATGCAGGCATGTGCCAGTTAGAGGTTTTTCTTAATTTTCCAGCGGCCCCTCCCCCCACAATTTTTGACACGGACAATTGGTCTTTTCTCAATCTTCTGTGAAAGGATAGGGAACTACAGCTCCAAGTGGCCTTTGCTCACCAGATTGAAGCACATTCATCCATTTTTGTAAAGATATTATGGGACTTTCAATAAATAAGAGCTTTGAGAGTTTAAGCAGGGGACCATGGGGACACAGAGCCGACTTCCTAAGCCTATCAGGGAGGACTTCCTGGAGGAGATAAACTGAGTTAACTTTGAAAATTCTGGTCGAGTTGGTTTCTTGAAAACCTACAAGTTGCTTTTGTAGTCTTCTGATTTCACCTTTCCTCTCCACCCCAGGCCTAGAGAGGTGACTGAAGTTTGGATGGTTGTCCTGCAGACCCTTTAGAGACCAAAAATACCCTGGTGACTCTGATGTGAATTATTAACTCTTCTGTACTTTATTTGCTAAAGAGTAGCATTGTCTCCTCATTTATTCCTGGTGCTAATTCAGACTTTCAGCAATTGAAGTTGTTGAAGGCGAGGGGTCACTGGACCCAGGGTGACAGTTGGCCACGATGAGCATTTGCTGTTTTCTCTATTCGGCACCTGAATGCAGCTGGCAAAAATCCATGCCACATGGCTTATGCCTGCTCCACAAGTCTCTCTGGGTCATAGAAAGCTCTATAATATTCACTTTTTAGAAATCAAAGGTTTCTTTTCAGGTAACGCATCAAGATTTGCAGTACTGTGGACAAAATTAGGCATCTGATTAGGAATTCAATGCATGACAATCTATCTTCCTCCCAGAGATGTTGTTGCACAAATCAGAAAATTATAGCCAGGCTGTATAATCAGCAACATTCCATTCTAGAAAACATATTCTAGCTGGAGTGATAAGGTCTATTGAAGCTACGGATGGCATTTCCCAAGGTTTCCAAACAGCTACACTTTCTGGGAACCCCGGTGGCTTTTCCAAACATATCTAAAAATTTTCTAATCAGCTCTGTTCCTCACTATGGAGCTGATACAGCCAAGGTCATGGGTTCATTTCAACTTGGGACAGTTTTCTTCATTTTTTACAGCTATATTTTCCATCTCTAAACATGCTTCAGTGAATAGATTCACTGAATCTATTCCATGTTAAAGAAACAAAGAAAAATTTATGAAACATACTTTCTGGCTCCAATCTTATTTCTCAGATCCTTTATAGCCAAGCAGTAGCAATAAATTCTTACAGTGTTTACCATAATTACTGTTTATTGCACACCTACTCTTTGTCCTGTTTACCATAACTACTGTTTATTCCATATTTGCTCTTTGCCAAACACACTTTTACCTGATTTTACTTAATCACAAGCCCATATGATTAGGATCAGTGTCCCTATTTCTAGGTTAAAAAATGAAGGTTCAGCAGTC